TTATTTATTTATTTATTTATTTATTTATTTATTTATTTATTTATTTATTTATTTTACCGTCAGAACAACTTTATTCAGAGGTGTGGGGAAAGGCTGGAGAAGTCCACACAGTCTGCGGTCCTCCGCAGGAAAGATCTGAAAGAGAAACGAAGGGTGAGGGGCAGGAAGGTGGCCGGGCCTGCCGCCCTTCGCTGCCGCCGCGGTCGGCTCAGACTCCGATTCGCATCACCCGGTGATCAGCAGTCTAACGCGTGCTTTGTATGGAGTGTCATCACCGCCGGCCGCCCACCGGCAAACTGTGTGGCCGCTCGGCCCACGGAAACGGCACACTGTCCTTCATATTTATAATGCACACTATTTAGTTTATTATTAGTAGTGTTTTAGTTTGAAACACCAGCTGGGAAACTCTAGATCGCATTTGTAATTGAGATTTAGACTACAATCCTCCATATAAGAACTAGCTCATATTCGATTGTGTCTATGAATATTTGAAAGAAAATATAAAAACTCCAAGGTAAGGTTATGTATTAGACAGAGAGAATAAATTCAAAAGGAAAATTCTCCCCTTAGGTAGAACCAGAAGTCATGAGGAATGACAGGTTTGATTGGAAATGTCAAAACCTGTTGGTGTCCTGCCTGGTGACACTGGTAAGATGTCATGTCAAAACATCATATTTTTAGTTTCATGAACTTCTGTGATCCAAAGATAAAATGCAATGAGATATTTCATTTAAGTAAATCATTTGCTTTATGAGACCATGAATATTTTGAGCAATTGATATATATTTTATTACTCATATTTATAAAATTCTTAAAAATTAAGAACCACAAAACATGCAGGTCTTGTGGTTTTTTTTATACTTGTCACTTATGAAAGATAAATTTGAACATCTTTTTTCACCCAGGTGAAAGCTGCACATTCCTAGAAATTTGTAGTTCAGTGGACTTAATGGTCCTGAAGGGAGGAAATGATGTGTAAAATAACCAAAATGTACCAATTTGGAGCTTACAGAGAACCATGTAATCTCTAACACACAGATATCATGCTCAGCATTCAATTTATTAATTCTGTTTGCAAACATGCTGGTATCTGTGTGACACCATCACTGGTCCCATCTTTAAGGCACTGAAATGGCAGGAACTGATGAATCAAGTTCTGCCCAGGCTGCACGCAGCTCTAGTTAATAATTATGCACTGAGAAATGGTTATACAATCTAGTGATTATGGAAATTAAGCTATCCCAATGATGAGACAGATGATGGATGATTTTGATGATAGAATTATTGTATTTCTGGGTATTTATTACCACCTGTAGACAGGCACAAATTCTCAGCAGTGACACTTTAAATATACCTCAGCATTTGGTCAGAGTCAGAAATGTATAATGAAGCCAGTATGTATAGGTGGACAGAAGCACTCCTGAATATTTAGTATGGGAATCAGATGTGATTGTCTTCATCACCCACTAAAAGTAGGCAAATTTGTAACTCCACAAAAACTAAAGCAATATTATGTCTTTCATGAGGGATACTCATAGATATGAGTTCGGCAGATTTGCCCTACAGAGCAGAAACTATGTTTGGAATTCTTATATGATATTAGTGATAATGAATGAATACTCTTTTTTGGGTAAAGAATGATAAGTTTTCTACCTGTCTGGACTGTTTCTTTTTTTTGGGGGGGGAGGAACAGGGGTGTAGGGCAGTGCTTGTCTCAGGAGCCTTCAATACTTCTCATTCTAAATTATGGGTCTGCAGCCAGATATCACTGCAAAAGAAGCTTACTTGCCCATCTCCAGAAGGCTTCCCATTCTTCTGTTGACCTCTCTGTGTTAAGCAGTCATTTCTCTATTTTTGTATGTTCTCCTATTTTGTTGCATCCACATTTTAATTGGCTGGGAAATTAAGAACATATATTATAATCCTTTGATTTAGCACTATAAGGCAAAGAGTACAAGGCCAAAGTAATTTTCCAGGGAAAATAAGATAATGTTGGAAAATGTCAATTTGTCAATAGCAATCATAAATTTACACACACCAATTGATGTGTATCTTGGTAACAGTGCTCTCAAAAACACCAGTGACAAGACTGATAGGATTAAAGGAGGAAATAAATGATGCATTAAAAATAAATTGGCATAATATTAGCAAGTTGAATTCAGCAATGTGTAAGGAAATTTAATTCAACACAAACAAGTAAAGAGATTTTCTCACAGGTTGAGAGCTTGATTTAGTATTAGACACACGATCAACATAACATAAAATAATGAAAGAATAAAACAAAAAATCATTTCCACAAATGTATAATAGCTCTTGAAAGACAAACCGATGTTTAATTATGATCAAGCTGTCAATAAGTTAGGAGCAGAAGGCTTCTTCAGTGTGAATAACATTGACCCAAAATGAATACCTGGGGATTCCAGGAAGAGACAGAAAAAGAAAACTCAGTCAGGCTCCACTGCTCTTACAAACACTCAGCCACCAGCCACTCATTAAACAGAATGCATTCTGAGGGTTCTCATCTTTGGGAAAAAGCCCGAGACACATGGTTGGTCTTTAGAACGGAATGAATCCTGAACTGGAAAGGTAAAAATGATCCCATTCCTAACATCCTTCCTTCTTCCCTCCCTTCCTTCCTTCCTTCCTTCCTTCCTTCCTTCCTTCCTTCCTTCCTCCACTCATTAGCTTCACAATTTGCCCTGGAGGGAGAGAAGCAGAGACTTTCCGCCAGCAGCTCTGACGCTAGCATTCCAGGAAGCCACACCCCGCACCTCAGGTAAACACAGGGTAGCAGGTATACACTTTGTTCTGAACATGTCCCAGGCTTATTACAAAACAGAGAAGTCCTGTTAGTTATAATAACATATATAAACCTGGAACAAACTATATTGTGTGAAGACATGCAGGCACAGAAGGAAGAAATGCACTTGATTTACTCGTGTGTGGAATATAAAATAATTACTGCTATAGATGACTTTGGGGTAGAGGAGGTTGGTGGAGGGAGTCATGGAGAGGTGTGTTGAAGGGGGCAGACTTAGAGTTGTCTGTATGCCTTCAGATTCTATTTCATGGTAGGATAACCACAGTTAGCAACAATGTATCACATTTCAAACCAGTACATGTTTGAGTGCTAAATGGGACTCTATTAATGTGTGACTCAGGATTTGTCAGTATGTAAACTCATTACTTTGAAGCATTATTCCATTACGGTATTACGTCTTTAGGCAGACTGCCTGAGATAACATTTCTAGTTTAGTAAATGTTAGGAACAAGTTACAAATCTCAATTGATTCATATTTATCTAATAAAAATTAGAAAGAAAAAAAAACAGCAATAAACTTAATTCTTAGCTTTATGAAGACTGAAGAAGATGATACATGCAAACTCCCATGATACCAGCCTGTTTCACGATCATCAACTATGGTTGCCTAAATAGAAATTATCTTTTTAGTCATAAGGAAGTAATCTGGGGAATAGAAAATCACACTCTACCCTTATAAACTTACCTGTCTTTCTGGTGTAATGATCCCCTTATCTTCAACATGGAAATTGTGAGATGCTTTTATAGTCTGATTATATTTTTACACTACATTGCTTAAATGACACCTTATTAAAACTATGTCATAAATATATTTTGGATTTTCATGTTTTTATACAGTTGTAAAATATAAAGGTACAAAGACCTCATTCTGTTTATAATTCTGTAGCATATTTGGTTAATCATTACCATCGTTGAGAATGTACTCAGTATTTACCGATATCTTAGGTATCTAGGGCATTTTTCATTACAAAAATCATGGTTAAAATAGTGGTGCCTGTCTGTCTTTTTCTCATCTTAGATTCTTCTGTTCAGTCAAATTTGGGAAGAGCCATACAATAATGAGCATTGATCACAATATCACTTATAGTCCCCAGAAGAAGTTACAGAAAGTTTATGTAACGTTTGGATAAATGATAGAACAATTTGTTATTCCAATTCATCTTTTTCTGTAATTTTACATGTTATGATATATAATGATTTTGCAAATTTTAAAATAATATGGAAATGGCAGACATGCACATACATAATACATGTGGATATGTGTGGTAAGTATCAAATTCTATTAATTTCTGTTTCTTGCCATATCTTAACCCCTCAACAATATAGTCCAAAAATTTTTATCAATCGTGCAAATGTAGAGCTAACGTTAATTATCCAAGATAATAATAAGATATGTGAGAACAAATTGAAATTCACAATGAATTCCCTAGCTACATATTGTCCAGTAGATTAAATGTCTCTCCTCCTAACCTTTAGCAGAGGCATTTCGGGGAAGAAGAGTGTTTCTGCTTCCTTAGGTTCTACAATCCGGGAGGAATTAAAAAGTGTGAACTATCTAAATGGCAACTAGGAGGAAGAGGTAACAACAAAGGGCATTACTGATCCACAGAAAATCCCTAAATAATTAAATATGCAATTGAATGAAAAATTCAAGTTCTAAGCCTGTTTTCAAGTACATTGCAGCCCCAACAGCCCACTGTGGGCCACAGGATTCTATCCTTAAATATTTTTATGCATTTTGTTCTTTTTCAACCTGTTAATTTGCATACACTTTGTAGAGTTAATAGGAACATTTTCATTTTTAACAGCATACAAAATTTTATATGTGATATGTAACGTTAAAATGCTAAATTGATAAATATATAATGTATATTAAGTACTATACTTTCATTTCATAAGCAATGCAATATATGATGAACATGAATTGACATTTTGTGTTAGTAAATGGTAAGATTCCTTTCATATCTTCTGCTATTTCCCACCACCAGGAAATACCCAGTGTTTCAGACACCAGTAGCAGCAAGGTATTGTCCCCCAAGGACTGACAGTGAGTTTCAGGATGGCAGAGGTGTGTTATCATCTCCCAGGACAGTCAGTCAATAGCATTTAAGTTTCTGGATGGCCTTGACTCCTTAGGGTTCTCTCACCAGCACTTTATTATTGTCTTGTATGGAAAAAAATAATGAACTCAACTAATATGTGGAAAGTGCATGTATCTAATTTAAAATATAGTATAATAAATAAAACACATTTATGGAGGAAGAAATGATTACTTCTATCTTTTTTTGACTTTTAAGGGAAATATTTAATTTACAAAATTAAAAATGTGAATATATAGCATTGTCAATGTGTTTTAACATGAAATATCAAGAGTGTATCGCCTCAAATATTTCAATATTTGTTTCATGAAAATAGAAAAACAAACATGTTCTGACATTATATCTAGGAGAACAAAAT